CCCCCCCCCCCATGCTGGGACTTGATTCTGGGGGCCCTGCCCCCCCCCCCCCCAGGGATTGAGTCTGAGGGGGCTGGTACCACCCCTGCCCAGCTCTCTCACCCTGGGATTGGGTCCCAGGGGTTTGACACCACCCCCTTCTGCTACCATTGTGTTGGAACTGTGTTCAGGGGGGCCATCAGTGCCCCTGCCTGCCTCCTGCACTCCAGGATTGGGCCCCAGGGTAGGGCGCAGCATCACCCCCTCTCAGCCCCCAACACTAGGACTGGGCCCTGCCCAGTTTTGAGCACTGGGATCAGGTGCCAGATCCAGTGTGCAAGACCCAGAGATTTGGCAACAGGGGAGCAGTGCAACCGTTCCCCTGCCAACAATTTTTTAGACCCATAGGGAGACCTGCTGGCCAGCTGACGTGGCACCGTCGGCTGGATCTGGCCCACAAGCCAGAGGTTGAGCATCCCTGAACTAGAAAAATCAACTGTCATATTCAACTGTTTCAAGGGCAAAAGCACTAACAGAAAACAGGGTGTAGAGGGTGTATCTTGAGAAAGAAAAGCTTCCTTAGTTGTCTTTATAAGGAACATTTAGAGGCACTGGCTAAGTGCCTCTATCTTGTATAAATCATCCATTATATAAAAGTTGAAATGGACTTTGGGTAACCTTGTAGACAGACCAGCTTGCAAAGCCAGATTCCATGTTTTTGCTGACGTAAACAAGAAAGCACCGAAACTAAGGGTTTAACTATAGTCACGCAAACAAAGCAAAACCTATTACCATAAGGAATAGCACTCATTGTCAAAAGTCCAAACCAAATTGGTAACTTCAGGGGCCAACCTAATTAAATAGTTGTTAAGTATTTACCATAAATTCTACACTTAGCTTAGAAGAGAATCTTCATGACCAACCCCTTTCATTAACATATACCTGATCAGGTTGTAGCTGGATGTATGTCATTAAAAACTGCATATGTATAATTGTAAAGTTGGGGTAGTTGGGAATCATGGACCTGAGCTGTTGGAAAAACTGAAGAAGAGCTCAGAGTTCCTGGGATCCAGCCTACATGCATCCTCCCACTCATGAGTATGCTTCTGCATTTCCATTGCCCAATCTGAATTCTAGTTAAACTCATGTTTAGCTTTCCAATAACATGCTTCTCCTGATAAGAGACAGATGTGCTCTCTCTCTTTATCCAGAGACAACAAAGAAAACTCCCCCAATTTGGGGATGGAGGGCTTCAGTCTTCATTAAACAAAACTCACTGACGTATCAAAAAAAAAATCTAAACATTTGAAAGAAAGGAAACAGCAATGTCTTGTCATTATGCAGTAACAATTTAGACAACTGACTGCATCTACTTGAAGCTATATCAGCAGAATCAGGCTTTGTGTCTCTTTCTGGTCTGATGTCTGACAGCCTAGTGGTATAGCCACTTGAAAAGGACCAAAGAAAGAAGACAGCCTAAATATGGAATTCTATATATGCTCTTAGTCTACTTTTTCCAACCCATCAAAATATGAGAAAGAGAGACGGGAGCAGGACACAAAACACCTAGCTTTCCAACATGTATTATTACCTTTCCCTTTCCACTTCTTGTAGGGAAGTTAATGCTAGAGTGAAAATGGAAGACAGAACCTGGAAGAGGGCTGTAAAGGTGTGATTTTAGTAATCTCCCACAGATTTTGCCCAGGGTAGAAGGGTTATCTGTACATTGCAAAAAGAACTAGGGAACTTGAAGACTGATTTAAAATTATAGCCACCAGCCTCCCACACTTGTATGGATATAAACATACCTGCTGTATATTAAATTCTCCTTCACATTCCTGTTTGTATCTCCTTGGAAGAGTCTCTACCTCTCGGATATCTTCCATAGTGACTTGTTTAGGAAGGACCTCAAACAAGGAGGTCAAATACATGATGATCGATTTTTTATCAGGAAGCTGTACAGCAATGTCTAAGATAGAAAATTTTAAAATGGGGGGAGGGAGAAAAAAAATAATCAAACAATACTGCTTTTCTAGACCATCTCCTAAAAAACTGTGAACTCTCTCCATTGACATAAAAATAATATGCCTCTCTTTTAATATAAACAATTTGTATTAAGGTAGAATATGAAGTCTATTTTGTAAGTGCATACTTATTCTAGAACAGAGTAATCATACGTGAGAACAAGTACACCGTAGTTAATCAGGCATAGCTATTCAGGATCAACTCCTTATCACTATATGGACAATCCCTTAAGGAACTCAAAGGGAAAAATGGAACAGCTATTCTGAGTTTCATTCTTGTATGTACACGCATTTAAAATAAACTCCATCCCTGTAGCTGTGTTATAGCACAGGATATTTGCAGATCACATAAGAAAAGGTTTCAGTCGTGATATGCTCATCAGTATAATTGAGTGGATGAAAATTCCAGCTCATACTTCAAAACTCCTTTTCAAGAAAGTAGTATAAACACCAGTTAAGTCAGGGAAGCACTATATAAAATGTACCTATGGGAGACTGAATTTCCAACAGGAAATGTTAAAAGGAATCATGGAAACTTAGTGGCTAGACATATAATAAAGCAGGGGTCAGCAATCTACAACCCAAGGGCCAGATCAAAAGAGGTCCCAACCAGGGGCAGAAAAGCAGAGGGGGGAGGAATCAATGGCACAAAGCTGTGCTGTGTCACCCACTCCCTTCAGAGTGTCCCACTTTGCTGTGAAGCCTGCTGCTCCACTGAGTCTGCTTGCCTCACACTCAGGAATCTGCAACAAGGGCGAGTGCCTGCAACTGGGGGGGAGCTGAGACTTCCAGCCCAGAATCACAGCCAGGTTGCACACTCTGGCACATGTCCTGGCAAAAGACTGTCAACCGCTGTAGCATGGGAGCCTTTAAAGTACAGATATATGCAATAGTGAGTGAAAGGGACAGGCTAACTATTAAATGTTACCTGTTTTTTAAACACTTAGCTCAAAAGTTAAATTTTAAATCAAGTGCAAACAAGCATGCAGTACCTTCAGGATCTAACAGTTTTTCTATTCCCAGGTGTTTTTTGGCTATGCTGAATGCATGTTCCAGTCGTTCAACTGGAGACATCTTGGTAACTCTATCCCAACTGAAGAGTTCAGGTCTGAAAGTGTGGAAATAAAAAAAATATATTTTTTTAATAAAAGAAAATCAAACAAGGGGAAAAGATAAATTCCACATGTATCAGTGAATGCTACAATGTTTTTACTAAATACAGATAAAACCCAGAATTATAAGATTAGAAATATATTTGCAAGTTAATACAAAGAAAATTCCTGACAGATTCAAATCACTTTCTATACAAATGCCACAGTTGCCCCATCCACTGCTACATAACGAAGTGTACAAATACGACAGAATTCAACTGCATTCACTGTAGCAACCATTAGCTTAACAAGCTTTTCTTTTTTTCTAAGAATTTATATTACTCAAAGGTATATTTTTAGCATTACTGCTTAACATGTATTTTGGGTAACAAAATAAAAACAAGTCAGTTTTACTTCTGTTTCTAGTCAATATACCACACCCAGATTTTATGTTCTAAGATTTGAACAGTATTTCAGTGGTTGAGCTGCAAAAACTACTAGGAAATGAAGAAATAGTGTTTTAATTGTACTAACTGGAATGAAATCAGAGGTGAGGAACAAAATTATTAAGAAGCTAAAAGGAATGGGGAAAGTTTTAATGTTCTAACATCTAATAAAACCCATTGAATGAAAGTATCAAAATTTTGATAATAGCCCAAAATATTTAAAGAATTTAAACAAAAGTATTAGAAATGACTTTAAAAAGGTTCTGTGAAGTGAAATGAGATTAAGTGAAGAAAAATATTGAAATGATATATTAGAAAAATCAACAGCACCCATTAGGCATCTGAGAAGCTGTGATTACTGCTCCTGATTAACTATAAATTGCACACAAATTTGTTAGCTCCATCTCCTCAGCATCCTTTCGCAATCTTTATATTCATCATTTGTCTTTCAAGCCAGGTACACGTTACAACATATTACTTACTTATAATCAGCACAGTTATACAGGTGTAGACATAATGTATTTCTGTACAGCCTATGTCATTCGGGAAGTAACTACACCAAGTTAAAAAACAAACAAAAGAAACTCCTATGCTGATGTAAGGTGCATCCCATGCCTTTGTGGTATAGACTAGACTACATTTTAAGCCCCCTGACAGTGCTATGTGTCTGGAAAGCACTTAGCACCGACCAGCTGACTATTCAGGCTTCCCAAGTGCTAACTGTTAAAATAATAAATTATAATCTGGAATTTAAAAAAAAAAAAAAAAA